AAGCTGCCTCTCCCTGTAACATTCAGCTCGGTCTGGCACCTTTCTTTGTTTAATCTTATTCTTTGTGAAATGGCACAAAGAACACTAAACAGGAGATCATGTTCTAGTTCCAACTTTTGTCACTAATTTGGCAAGGATAGGATTGGGGAATGAAGTAGGCATGGAGTTTTCTTGTCCCAAAATGAGGAAATTGTATTAAATGACCTCTGAGGCTCCTTCTAGCTCTTTAAAAAAAGAAAAGAAAAGAAAATCTAGGAGCTGGCACAATAGCTCAAATGGCTAATCCTCCACTTCTAAGTACCAGCATGCTATACAGGAGCCAGTTCATGTCCCAGCCGCCCCACTTCCATTCAGCTCCCTGCTTATGACCTGGAAAAGCAATGGAGGTTGGCATAACTCCTTGGTACTTTATAAACATGGGAGACCTGTGGGAAGCTCCTAGCTTTGTATTGCCTCAGCTCTGGCCTTTGTGGCTATTTGTGGTGTGAGCCAGCAGATGGAAGATTTTTGTTCTTCTCTGTGGATCTGCCTTTCCAGTGAAAATGAATAAACCTCTAAACGAAATTATTATCAGCTATGTCCAAGCTTCCTACACTATCATATCAAGTCAGGGGACATCTGAGAATATGTGTGTGGTGGTGTATAGGATGCTGAATAGGTGATGTAATGAGTGCAAAGCAAGGAAGGTGAGGAAGGATAAAAGGATAATTGCATGAAGTGTCAGGGTACAAGGTAAATTAAATCAACAGCTATATTGTAAAATAAATCAACAGCAAACAACCCCAAGGCTGAAGAAGAGCCAACATGGTACCCTTCAAAATAACAGAGCAGAACATGAAATACCTGGGAATAAACCTAACAATGAATGTGGAAGACCTCTATGAGGAAAACTACAAAATATTAAGACAAAAAATGGAAGAAGACTTCAAAAAGTGAAGAAACATACCATGTTCCTGGATGGGCAAAGTCAAGATCATCAAAATGTCCATACTACCAAAAGTAATATGTACATTCAAAGCGATTCCAATCAAAATATCAAGAACATGCTTCACAGATCTGGAAAAAATGATACAAAGGTACATCTGAAAACACAAAAAATCATGAATAGCCAGAACTATCCTGAAGAATAAGAACCTAGTGGGAAGGGATTAGAATCCCAAGTCTTTGGACATGTTGTAAGGTGGTAGTTATCACAACAGCCTGGTACTGGAACAGAAACAGAGAGGTAGACCAGTGAAGTAGAATAGAAAATCTAGAAGGGAACCCACACATGCACAACTGTCTAATCTTCGACATGAAGACAAAAAATCTGGGAAAAAAGGAAGGTCTCTTCAATAGATGCTGTTGGGACAACTGACTAATAGCCTGTAGAAATAACAAGCAAGACCCATGCCTTTCGTCATACACAAAGATCAAATCTAAATGGATAAAAGATCTTAACCTACACCTAGAAACCATCAAACTTTTGGAAGAAAAAGTTGGAAATATTCTGCAAGATGAAGGTGTAGGCACTGACTTCCTAGAAAAATCATTAAAAGCAAAGGAATTCAAGAACAAAATGAGTAAATGGGACTACATTAAACTAAGAAGCTTCTGCACAGCAAAGGAAACAGTCAACAAAGTAAAAAGACAACCAACAGAATGAGAGAAGATCTGTGCACATTACACAGACGACAAAGGGCTAATTTCCAAAAATATGTAAAGAACTCCAGAACAGCAATAATGTCAAAGCAAACAAACCAGTCAAGAAATGGGCACAGGAAATCAGCAGACACTTTACAAAGGAACAAATTCAGATGGCTAACAGACATGTAAAAATGCTCAAGCTCTCTGCCAATAAGGGAAATTCAAATGAAAACAACACTTAGGTTCCACTTAATGGCAGAAGGAATTGCCCACTTGCAGAAAACTACGGATACCATCTGCTGGCAAGGTTGTGGAGGAAAATGAACCCTACTCCACTACTGGTGCAACAACTATGGAAGTCAATATGGAGAACACTTAGGCAATTAAAAATGCACCTACCATATGACCCAGGAATACCACTCCTAAGAAAATATCCAAAAGATTTGTTACACGAGAAAGCAGTATGCATCCCAGTATTCATTGCAGCACAATCAACAATCAGAAGAACATGGAAAAAACCTAAATGCCCACTAACAGAAGGCTGGATAAAAAAAACTGTGGTTCATCTACACTATGAAATATTACTCAGCCATTAAAACAGAACAAACAAACAAACAAACAAAAAACAAATACAATACTTTGTGGCCAAATGGGCCAAACTAGAGACCATTGTACTAAGGGAAATGAGCCAATTCAAAAAGGTCAGATATCATATATTTGCTCTAATATAAGGTAGTATGATGTCAAATCTAGGCACATTACAAGTGAATCCTACCTTATGTCACTTCCTATTTACCTGTACCTTGTGTAAGAAGACCTTGTGATGTAATTCCTTAATCAAGCATCCGTAAGAGACTGATTGTTTATAATTATCTGAGATGGTCAGTGTCCCTTTTATCGCTGTTATTGGTACTGCCCATAAATAATGAAGACCTAGTCCTCATTGTACCTTCATTAGGATCCTGGGATACAAGAATGAACTCACAATAAAATGACTGACAGTCTCCTACATGATTGGGAGACACTCCAGTGGCAGATGAGGGACTTGGGAACATTCACAAAAAATGTCCATTATGAGACTAGAGGGGAGAACAGAAGGGAGGGAAGGGAACTCAGGGGAGGGGAAAGGGAGACCCCAAAACCTACTAAGCTGTATCAAAGAATAATTTTTTTTTTTAAAAAAAAGGACAATTGCCTGGATTAGGGGGCTGGCATTTTCTTTTGGAGAAGGCTTATGGTCTTTGATATCAGTCTGTAGGAGCCAAGTTTAAAGTTGCTTTGTTTATATTAGCTGCCTGCTAAAATTCCTCCAGAAATAACTGCTTTCAGGGTGCGAGAACGCTGGTGCTTTCGTTGGGAGAGCTGACTCAGCAGGGGTCCCGGAGGCCCCTGCAATGCTCTCTGAGAAGAACTTGGCTCCCTGGACTCTCCTTGGACCGCTGGGCTCTGCCGAAGTCCCTGGTGCTCAGGTCATAGGTTGTTTCTAGGCCTGTACCAAAATTGCTTTTTTCCTGGTTCCCATTTATCACTTGTGACCCCTGATTGATTCCCAGAGATCAAGAGTTGCTGTAGTCCAGTGGAGAATCCATAAATCATTGCTTCCACTTCCTTTCTTCTAGATTTGCTGCCTGTTAATTACCACGTAGCCACTGCTGAGGCTGCATCTTTGTACTATATGTGCTGGGGACGAAAGTCCCTGATGATTGGATGTATGCAAAGTCTGCTTTGTCTTTGTTCAACCATTGCACTTTGCAAAGTGCCACACATGCTTCTCATCCCTCTCTCTTGTCTCCTGCAAGTTCAGAGTCTGGTTGCCGATGGCTTATCCATTAACAGGCCTTGTCTGTCTTCTTGGATTAGGCCATGAAATGGGCAGCTGCCAATAACTCAGCAAAGTGCTCTTCACTGGAAAGGGAAGCTTGGACTAGCTAGCTCCTTTCATTCCGCTTCATATTCTTTGTAGGAACTAAGCAGACTGTATGATCTAAAATGAGCTTCCATGAAGCTTTAAAATGATTTTTTTGGGTCTATTTATAACAACAGATCAGTTATTAACAGACACCATCTTAAAAGGTCAGCTACTTGTTATTTGTTTTCCATTATGAAGTTCTAGAGAACTTCAGGCTGGGAAAGGACTAGAGAGTTTATGAATGAGAATCCTGTCCCCTGCTTCCCTTTATCTCTAGCAATGCCTTTTTGCTGTTTGAAGAGAGGAATCAGGCTTTAGAAATGGATTGTAGGTGAAACCATTCTCTTATCCTTACCTGGCCTGCTGTTTCTGTACTGTTGCTGTGCTTTCAGAGCAGTGAGAGTAAGGGTGTTTGTGGCAGGCAGCAAGGGTCTGGAGAGTCTCACTCCAACTTAACTTTGCCTGCTGTTCCAGATCAAAGCTCACATCTCATCTCCAAGGGTAGAAAACTTCACAGAATGCTCAGACAGCAGCCCTGGCAAAGAAAGCAGATTCAGTATAGAAAAAGAGAGGTCAGCCAATCTGGGGGAGCTTTGAAGAGGAGAACATAGGAGAATTATAAGTTGTTACCAGTTGTTGAACCCCTTACTTATGGCTTCCCTTCCAACAGGGGAGATACATATTCAGGGAGAACATCGAAGCAGGCTTTGGACATACCCTAGATGAGTGAGTGCAAGGCAGCTGAGAATTTTTTTTTTTTAATTCTTCATATTTCCAATGTATCTCTTAAGCTCCATTGTTAATCTGGTGGCTGGGCAGTCAGCTCCTCTACTGAGCTTGCTTGGGTTTTAGCCATTCTTCACTGAGGAGTGCCGGGCAGAGAGGAAACCTTTTTGGTAGATGCTGTCGCTTTCAAGAGAAGAAAGCAGGCTGCTCTTTTGTCTGAATAACTGCACCAGCAATGGGCTTGTAAGATCCCTTCCCACCTCAACGGGAAGCCGAGCTGTAGCTTATCGGATTGCTGTCACATCTGGAGACTAATTGGGATTGGTATACGTTCCTTGTAGTGGCGATGTTAGCTGAAGATTGGTAACAGTAGATGGTAGCAGCCTGCAATGAAAGGGAATACTTATTTTCACCTCCAAATTGAGCAAATTTCATGGGGAAATCACCATGTGGTAGTAAATTTAGAACACTAAGATGTCAGTTTTATAGTCACATTTCTGAACTTAATTGCTATTTAAGAAGTTGTAGAAAGTCAATTTAAAAAAATCTTTTATGGACAAATAAGCTTTGATTACATAAACTCCCTTTGCTTTCAGAAAGGGCTTGGGAGCTGAGATTTAACTCAAGCTAACTGTGTGGATTTCAGTAGAGACAGACTGCTTTTATTTCACTTTATTATATTGTAGTTCCAATAATTTGTTGACATCTTTCTCTCTCTCTCTCCCTCTCTCTCTCTCAGCCTTGATAAATTTGCTGAAGTTCCTTATGTCAAATGAGACTGTACTTTTGGCCAAACACAACATTTTTACATTAGCCCTTATGGTGAGTAAGAAAACAAATATTTTATTTTTCAGAAGCTTCTTACTAAGATAGAAATTGACTGGTTTAAAAATAGCAGCTGGTGGTCTGGGAATTAAAATGTAGAGGGAACCAGTCTGTATTTTCTCTCTCTCAGATCAGCATCTGAGATTAGTACTCCCCAATCTCGCCAATGTCTTTGGCAGAAGAGTGTGGTGTGGCAGGCCCAGGGATGGGTCATATTTTTGTGTATGAATGCTGAGCCTTAATCTCAGCTGAGAGATTGTGCATACTGTACTACTGCAGTCTCTAGGTTGAGATATAGCAATGCTTCTAGAATGTGAGCGATTCCATCATGCCTGCACCAGTTTGTGAGAGATATAACTATTTGTTTATCAAGCTGGTTCTTTGGCGCATAAAGAAGCCATTGTGCCTCTGACCATTTTATTATGTTGTTACTCCATGTATTTGTAGATGTTCAGCATTTAATGGGAAGAAAATCTCAAATTGGAGTTGGTTTCAATTGTCTATAATTCTATCCAACATAGCTATTTGTAAGCCATCTATGTTACAACAACAAGGTCATGCAAAGTTGGGAAGAGATGTGTAGTAGCACACCATTATATCATATTCCTGTTACATGGATATAAGATATGAAATAATCTACAGGGTATAAATATCATATAAAAGGTAGAAAATAATTAGCAAGTGATAAAGTTTGATTATTATCACAATTTCCATATAATTTATTTCATTGTAAGTTTGTACACATGAATTTCACTAGTAGCTCTGTTTAATCAATTTTAAAAATTCCAAAACTTTTAACAGTTGAACAAAATTAATATTTTGGAAGCTGGCAAGAACTGGCTCTACTTTACCATTAGAATTTACTTCTGAGCTTCATAACCCATTGCCTGTATATGGGCTTTTGTCTTTTTTAGATTGTGAACCTATTTAATATGTTTATCACATATGGTGATACTTTCCTGCCAACCCCCAGCAGCTATGATGAATTGTATTATGAGATTATCCGCATGCATCAGAGCTTTGACAACCTCTACTCCATGGGTAAGAATTCTTTTTACTCTTATCTCTCTATCAGCTGGTTTTTTTTTTTTTTTTTGGCAAATAAGAGGAAAAGGCCTGAAAAGATTCCCTTATAGTTATGTGAAGCACTTATGTGGCATAGAAATGTAGTAGTGTCCTCTTCTTGGGCAAAAGGAAGGTATAGATGGGCCATTTGCCTAGTGGCAAAAGATTGCATCTCAGTGGAAAGTTGATTAGTAGCCCTTTGTTAAAAAGAACAGGGAGGCTCAGACATTCAGTGAGTGCCAGTGAGGTGGGGGTGCAAGAATAGTTGGCAGTCAACTGCAGCAAGTAGAAGAGCTTGGACCCACAGGAATACTGTGTGATTTGAGAAGGTGCAGGGTTTTTAAGGACCCTTGGTGTACCTATATATTACTAGCATCACAACAGGAAGTATGCATTCTTACAAATATTTTATTGATTGGCTCACTGGAAATGTAGTCATCTATAGAGAGTGTATCTTATTTTTGAATGATCTTGTATTTGTCTGCAAGTTTGGGGAAAGGGCCGAGTGAGCTACCTGATGTTTGAAAGGTAAACAGAAGTGCCCAATGTGATGGCTCAATTGGCTAAATCCTCACCTTGAAAGTTTCAGAATCTCATATGGGTGTGCTGGTTCATGTCCCCGCTACTCCACTTCCCATCTAGCTCCCTGTTTATGGCCTGGGAAAACAACAGAGGACAGCCCAAAGTCTTGGGATGCTTGCACCTGTGTGGGAGACCTGGAAGAAACTCTGGCTCCTGGCTTCAGATCAGCTCAGTTCCAGCATTTGCAGCCATTTTTTTTTTAAAGATTTATCATATTTAGTTTTTTCTTATTGGAAAGTTAGATATACATATACAAAGAGGAGGAGAGACATAGAGAAAGATCTTCTGTCCGATGATTCATTCCCCAAGTGAGTGAAATGGCCGGTGCTATGCCGATCCAAAGCCAGGAGCCAGGAACTTCTTCTAGGTCTCCCACACGGGTACAGAGTACCAAAGCTTTAGGCTGTCCTTGACTGCTTTCCCAGGCCACAAGCAGGGAGCTGGATGGGAAGTGGTGCTGCCGGGACCAGAACCGGCACCTATACGGGATCCCGGCTCGTTTAAGGCGAGGACTTGAGCCTCTAGGCCACGCTGCTGGGCTCTTTACAGCCATTTAGGGAGTGAACCAGCAATGGAAAATCTTCCTCTCTGTCTCTCCTCTCTATGGATCAACCTTTCTAGTAAAAATATTTATGTTTAAAAAAAAGAAATAAATGAAAACAGAGAACTTCTCAGTAAAGCTATGTAATGTTAAAAACTCCAACGTGCTAGACTTACTCAGATATAGTTGATATAATAAAATGCACATATTTCAAACATACAAGTTTGATGCATTTTGACATGTATCATATTTATCTAAGAACCATCATAACAAACCAGGGAATGAGTACATTCATCACCTTTACAGAGTTAACTTGTATCCCTTTGGCATCCTTCTCTAATACCTATGCTCCCATCTCCATTGCCCCACTCCCACCCTAGTGTCCTGTCCATGTACAAGAGCCGATGTGCTTTTTGTCACTGTAGATTTTTTGCTTTATACTCTGTGATGAGACTGAAAACCCCAGCCCTCCTTAAGACTATTATATTGTGCAAAAAGTAGAGAGGGTTTAGAATATGTACCAAGACAAAGAGTAGAAGCAAATAGTATAAAATTGCCTGGGAAGAAAAAAGACCTCATTTTTAGAGTAGTAAAGGCAAACTTTTCAATTTATATTATATAAGTAAATTGTGGAATCTTTTTTAAAAAAATATTAATTATATTTGAAAGGCAGAGTAAGAAAGGGAGAGATAAGGGACAGGAGAGTTGTTCCCATGTGTTGATTCATTCCCCATTGACTACAACAGTTGGTTCATTTTCCAAATGGCTTTAGTGACCAGAACTAGGGCAGGATTGGGGCTAGTGCCTGGAACTCCTGTCTAGATCTGCAACATAGTTATAAAGGCCCAGGGACTTAGGCCATCTTCTGCTTTCCCCAGGCTATTACCAGAAAATGGGAGTGGAAGTGGAATAGGTAGGACTCAAACTGGTGCCCAGCTGGGGATGCTAGCATTACAGGCGGTGGTGATTCAATCCGCTACGCCACATGTATTAACTGCTGTGCCAAATGCTTGCCCCTATATCTCTTTTTTAGTGATTGCATAGTATGTTATTTTTGTATGCCATAATTTGCTACATAAATGACTAGTTTGAAGTATTTATGGCATTTTGGGATAATTTTGTGTTTAAATTTGGTAGTTCAGAAAGAATATAAATCTGACGACGCTTCCAAAGGAAATGTAGTGGTGAGTTCATGTGGGTGCTGTTCACTAAGGCATGGGACTAACAGGATGCTGTTGAGAAGTAATCTGTAAGAAGCCGGCACAATGGCTGAATTGGCTAATCCCCCACCTGCAAACACCAGGATTCCATGTGGGAGCCAGTTTGTAGCCCAGCTGCCACACTTTCCATCTAGCACTGTGTCTGTGGCCTGGAAAAGCAGTAGAAGACAGCCCAAAGCCTTAGGATCCTGCACCCAAATGGGAGACCCAGAGGAGGCTCTTGGATCCTGGCTTCGGAACAATGCAGCACCGGCCGTTGCACTCACTTGAGGAGTGAATCATCGGACGGAAGATCTTTCTCTCTGTCTCTCCTTCTTTCTCTGTATATATCTGACTTTGCAATAAAAATAAAATAAGTCTTTAAAATTACCTTTGTTCTTAAAAATGAGTAATTGCTGGCCCAGAGGCAAAGCAGCCTGCCAAGTTTTCCTTTTCCCTGTTAGCACTATGGACCTTCCCCTGACAGATCTGCTACCATGGCAGCTGTTCGTGGTGCAGAGTGATCCTGGGTCAGGAGCACATGGTGCTCAGACATGTAGTTCCTTTGCACATGACTCATGCATCCTCATGCTGGGCCCCAGTTGGCTTTCTCTGGAAAAGTCTCAGATATGTTCCTTTATTCATTGGGGAAGCAGTTTTTTGAAATTAATAATAGCCAAAGTCTACCTAGCATTTATCATGTGGAAGCCACTAATCTTAGAGCCTTCTGTGTTTTGACCCATTTAATTCTCACAAAACTCCTTCCCTTCACACAAGTGTTGCTGTTATTCTCTAGTAGGTGGCAGGAGCTGGATTTGAGCCCTAGCAGTTAGTATCAGAGGTCATGTATTTTATTTACTTCTCTACCAAAGTAGAGAAAAGTGCAGCTCTGGGCTCATTGCCTCTGGATTCATATTCCCTCTTCATCACCTAAAGCCATGTAAATGACCTCAGTCCATTGGTTATCTTCTCTGAATCAGGTTCCTCATCTATGTTCAGTATTACTGATATACCTCTGCTCAGTGCCTGAGTCCACACACTTGTTTTTACTTAACCATTCACTAAAAACATGTATTTGGAGTACCTGGCATGGTGTTTGCTCTTTTCTCCTTTGGTTTTTCTTTTGGCTTTTAAGGATTTACTGTTAAACTTAAAAGGTAGAGTTACAGAGAGAGGGAGAAACACCGATCTTTCAGCTTCTGTTTCACTCCCCAAATTGCAGTTTTGAAGCCAGGAACTGGGAGCTTCTTCTGGGTCTCCCACATGGGTAGAGGGGACTAAGCACTTGGGCCATCTTCTGCTTTCCCAGGAACATTAGCAGGGAGCAGTAGCAGAACTAGAACAGCTGGTTCTTGAATCAGTGCCCATATAGGTCGTGGGCACAACAGGTGGCCAATGAACTCCTATGCCACAATACTAGCCCCTTGTGCTTGGTCCTTCAAGGAGCAATGCTCTGTTTGTCTCTTTTCTGACATTGTATAGGTACTTTAATGTATAGCTCTGAAGATTGTAGCTAATAGGGGTTGTGTTAAGTTCTTTGTTTTAGTCATATCTCCTTTGGGCGAGTTTAGAAAAGAGGTAGAATTTTGTCAAATAAGGGAAGAATATTTTCTGTTGATTCATTTTGCAGTTCACACAATTAAGTTGAAGGAGTGAAGATGAATTACTCCTTGATTGAAACAACCATCTTGTAGCTGGAGAGATTATTTTTTTAAAACACTTGTTTATTTTTATTGAAAAATCAGATTCACAGAGAGAAGGATAGACGGAAAGAAAAATCTTCCATTCACTGATTCACTCCCCAAGTGGCTGCAATGGCCAGAACTGAGCCAATATGAAGCCAGGAACCAGGAACTTCTGGGTCTCCCCTTTGGATGCAAGGTCCAAAGGCTTTAATTTATCCTCTACTGCTTTCCCAGGCCACAAGTACGGAGCTGGCTGGGAAATGGGGGCAGGTGGGACACAAACCAGCTCTCATATGGGATCCTCATGCATGCAAAGCGAGACTAGCCACTAGGCTCTTGTGCTGAGTCCCCTTGAGAGATTCTCTTGATTCTTTTTGTTTGTTGACACATGTAAATTGACAAAGATGTACTTGAAGCAGTAGCAGATTCTGACTCAGACAGCTGGGTTTACTAAATCAGCCCTGGCCAACAGGGAAGCAGTTGATGTGGCAGCCAGGTTAACCTCACATCACCACCCCAATGGAGATTTTGAATGAATATCTGCATATTAGCAGCAGGCAGGGCAAACACAAGCCAGGAAGTTGTGATGTATTTTGATAGAAACTGAAAAAGTAGAGAAAAAAGTTACCAGCAAAAGTAGTTAAGAGAATTCTAACAGCCCTTACATTTTTCTGTAGGCTGAGGATGTGTTTAACAGAAGATTGGCACAGGCTTTGTTTGGTTATTGCAGTAGTGCTATTCTGAGATGTGTCTTCATTTCTCATGTTTGTGTTTTAGAGCAGGAGTTTAACAGATCTATGCTCTTTTCTTCTTTGCAGTGCTGAGGCTTTCTACTAATGCAGGCCAGTGGAAGGAAGCAGCTAGCAAGGTCACCCACGCCTTGGTTAACATCAGGTAAGGAATAAGAATTTATGCTTTTCGAGCTCCTTGGCTCATCCTGAAATGTATTGTATCTCTCTAAGTAGACTGCATGGAACAACAATGCTATTTTAAGCCTTGATGTCTGTAGGAGTAGAAGAAATTGTCATCCTTGATCAAGGAAAGCACGAGTACACAAGACTTTTCATTTTGTCATATTGAAACAGATCGAAGATTCTCTACCAGAAGATAGTTGCAAGCTCTTTTCAGGCATCTTAGTTGCCAGTGTGATTTTTGCACATAGGTCATCTGAAAGCTCTCCTTTGAAGAATGTTTCTTCCGTTTCTGTATGACTTCGGTGAATGACTCATGAGGATCTAGAACTTTGACATTTTACTATATGAAGCTATTTCTATTTATGGTGAACAGAAGCCAATGAAATCTATAGGGCTAAGTCATTTTAGGTTCCTTAAATAGCAGGGCAATTATGGTGTGCCATATGTATGTGGATAAAATATGGAGTTGGATAAAATATGGAGTTGGTCTGCATTTTGAGGAAGCACCACTCCCTCACAAAAGTGAGCTGTCAGTAAATGGGCAGCAGAATCTGCTATCGGTGTTGTGAAATCTGAATTTTTCCTTAGATTCCTTGCTCCCTTGGTGCCTATGATTTGCCATTTTCTCAACAGTCATGAAATTATTTTTTGCAAACAATTGAGAAATTAATGTTGAGTAAAGAGGCAAACCCAACAGATGGAGAACTTGCTATAGCTCCAGATGTAAGCTTTGCCAGACGTCTCTGTAATAGTAATGCACATTTACAACTTGTTATGTAGATACTAATCTGTGACAGAGCTGAGACGTGATGTTTGTGTCTGGATCTTTCTTTTTTCCTAAGGACAAAATATCCTATTCCTGCAGTGATTTAGTACAGTATTTGGCACATATGGGAATAAAAGGAAAAGTGTGAAATGTTTCTGTGGAACATTAGGATAAGGGAGCATGGGGTCAGCTGTGCAAATAGGATTGTTATGAAGGTTGCTCTGTTATCTGTCCCAGAACACGTTTTGCAACAAACAGTTTTTTTTTTTTTTAACAAGATGTATTTATTTTATCGGACAGGCAGATATATACAGAGAGGAGAAGAGACAGAAAGAAAGGTCTTCTGTCCGATGGTTCACTCCCCAAGTGACCACAATGGCTAGAGGTGAGCCAATGCGAAGCCAGGAACCTCTTCCAGATCTCCCACACAGGTGCAGGGTCCCAAAGCTTTGGGCCATCCTTGACTGCTTTTCCAGGCCACAAGCAGGGAGCTGGATGGGAAGCGGAGCTGCCGGGATTAGAACTGGCGCCCTTATGGGATCCCAGTGTGTTCAAGGCAAGGACTTTAACTGCTATGCTATCACGCTGGGGTCTACAAACAGTTTTATGGCTCTCACAAATGTATGGGTATGTACACTTAGCAAATAATCTGGGTACTGTACAGAGACCTTTTGATGGGTGTTGTTTTCTGTAAGAATCAGGAGTTACCAACTGCCTTCTCCCAAATATGCCCTTTTTACACAAGGACAGGGTGACAGATATGGCTGTTTGAATGAACTACTAGATCTTGGATTCAGTATGAAATGTATATGGTTGTGGCCAGTATTGTGACACATAAGATTTAAGCAGCCATCTGCAGTGCCAGCACCCCACATGGGTACTAGTTTGAATCCTGGTTGTTACACTTATCTAGTTCCCTGCCAATGGCCTGGGAAAACAGCAGAAGATAACCCAAAGGCTTGGGCCCCTGCATCCAGATGGTAAACCTAGATGAAGCTTCCAGCTGCTGCCTTCTGAGTTTGGCTTGGCCAATCCCCGGCCATTGAAGCCATTTTGGGAATGAAGCTTTGAATGGACGATCTCTCTCTTCACTCTCTCTTCATCTTCTCCTCTGTAGCTCTGCCTTTAAAATAAATATTTTTTTTTTCAAATAAATGAACCTGGCTATGATTTATGTTATTCTGTTTATTCATATATTTGCATGGGCTTTTCAGGCAGCTGCTTTTTTTTTTTTAAGTATAGCTTTAAATTTTCAAATGTACGATTCATTAGATCTGTTCACTCATGTTCCCCAGCAGCTGGGGCATATCCAGTCTTGGTATTTCTGGTGTAAACTACTGGAACTCAGTGTTTTGAGACCATTTTGGTAAGCCCTTTACTAAGGAGTTCCTGAGGGGCTTCCTTGGTTAGAAATCCACAACTCTTCAGCTTCTCAGAGACCACAGCTGGTGTTAGAAGCTTGTATTTGGGAACTTCCCTAAAGAACTTATCATCAGTGCTTTTGGTCAAATAAAACCAAACTTTGCCTTTGGACCAGTTCTTTTTGGCTTTGCCTCCAGATTGGGTCATGGGATCCTTATCTTTCTTGGCTGACTGCTGTTGTCTTTGTTCTTGCTGTCCTTGGGTGGCAAAGCAAGGTGCATAGCACAGCAGTGACCACCTTAGCCTTGGAAGATATTGAACACCATCAACAACAAAAAGAGCCAGGCACCTGCTTTTTGTCTGGGACCTGTTTCCTTTGATCACATTCCTGTATGCTTTCACTCTGTCTTTGTTGCTTTTATCTCAAGGTCCATGGGCTGGCTGCTGTCATTATTCTTTCTGAGGGCCATCAAGCAGCTGATTTAAGGGTTTGGCCTCTTTCCTTGAATAGTTAGGAAAGGACTGGACTGATCCTTGAGCAGGTGCCTTTAGCTCTGTCCTTCCTTCCCTTTGCTTAACTCTATCAGGCCTACCCCTTCATTTCCATTTACATAAAATATTATATAAAATATAAAATAGCATAGTGCTTTAAAGATTCATCTGTAACATGGGTCAGAATTTTCTTTTTAGGATTGAGTAATGTTCTACATTATGGATATACCTCATTTTGCTCATTTTGTTTATTTATTCATCTGTTGGTAGACACTTGGGTTGTTTCTACCTTTCTTGTAAAAGTTAAGGTGTTAATGTTAACTTTGAAGGAAAGGTGTGTTACTTTTCTTTGTAGGTGGATTGATGACGTGGATGAGGGTGGTCTAAGGAGTGTCCTCTTCTGATTTAGAATTCTCTAGTTGAAGGCAGAAAAGAGTATACCTTATTTTGAGAAGCCTATGCTTCACCAAGATAGTGTAATGAGTGTTTCTTTACACCCCATTGCAGTTTTATAAGAGCTTGTGTTACACATCCATGACACTATTAACTTTGGATGCTTTAGAAAACAAGAACCTGATCAGAAAATTTGATCTGTTGGTCTCCAAGGAATATTGTAGGACATTTAGCTATTGGTTGCCAAGTTGATCATCAATGAAAAGAGTAAGACTTAGCAATGCATTGTGAGGGTGTATAGGATTTACTTCTATTTATAAAGTTTTTCCTGCCCCCTTTTTTCTTTCTTATCCCACTACTGGAAAGAATTTCTAAGGCAGAGTGAATAAACTCTTACCATCTCACCTTCAGTTTGTTTTTGTTGTATTTCTTTCCCTCTCCCTCTTCTGCCTCCTTTCCTCTCCCTCCTTCCCTCCCTCCCTTTCTCTCTTTCTCCCTCCCTTCCTTCCTTTCTCTCTCTATTTCTTTCTTTTTCTGTTGGATTTTAAGAAGAGAGAGAAGAGAAAGCTATCAGATTGCACATGAGATGTCCCAAGACATTATGACTGGGTGGCCTCCCAGGCTGATGTGTCAGCTGATGGGATGTCTTGGAATGCAGTGCATTAATGATTGTCCCAACAGTGTCTCCCTGTCAAATGAAAGGCAGCAGAAAGGCTTCAGGTCTTCCAGTGTTGGGAGTTGCAATTATGACAAGTGAAAATTAGAAGTACTTCCTGTGCGTGAAGGTTTGAATTTGCTCAAGTGTCAGTCTCTCTGCTTTTCACTTGTCTTTTATGAGTCAGAACACTAGTTCTTTAGTTGTCAAGAGTTATTTGTGTTTGAATAATTTGTCTCTCTCTTCCTGTTTGATCCTTCAGTGAGATTCTTAAAATGCATCTGCTTAGAAACTGCTGTTCTTATGGGAACAGCTGATGTCACTAGCCAACAGGGCCCTAATGTTTGCTTTGCCCTCCCCAGAGAAGAGCTGTTCTATTGCTTTGCTTAAGAATAAAATATGTTCTGCCACCTTTAAGGCTCTGCTATTAAGTATAATTATTGTTCAGCTCCCTGCACAGAGCAAAAATTCAATCAGGAAGAATATTTTGAAGGGCCACATGCTGGACCAGAAGTAAAATATTTGGAAAGTTTTGTTTGGAGAGTTCTGTGTTCCACAGCTTAGCCATCTATCCCAGTGAGATCATGAGCTTTAGGAAGATGTCTGTTGACTATTAACCTAATTAGTTGAAAGAGAAGAGAAATGTTAGACTAAAATCTGACCTTCATCTACTCTAACAACTTTCAAGATAAGTAATTTGAAGCCCTTAATGAAACTCTTCAAGTTAATATCGTAGTGCTTTTCACTTAATGAGCATTTTATTAACACCAGGTTCAAAATTCTATTCTGTAATTGCCCACAGAGAGGAAACAGTGACTGAATCACTGCAAATAGGTGTTTTTCCTGATCTGTAATTTTCTTCAGATGGATAAAGTTTTAGCTCTATAATTGGTATGCTAGTTTTTATTTGGACTATATTAAGCTGAAGTTCAGTTTTTCTTTGAAATTGACTTTCACATGCTGCTATAGTTACTTACAAGCCAGGGGTTTGGAATAGAATTTGGTGCATTTTTTTATAAGTCTCTCAGCAATTGACCTCCAATGGCCTTGTTCATTCCATAGTCATTTCATACCAATGCTCAGGGTGTCTTCCTCACTCTTATGTGCCTATGTAGCGGTTTTCCTTTGTTCCCTTCCCAGTAGAAACAGAACCAAACAAAAATAATTAATCTGTAAGTGTATACTGTTGCAACGGTAAAGAATAGAATAGTTAAGAACAGAATAGAGGCTCTTAGGAGCCTCTCGATAGTGGGGTTCATTGGGCCTACACCTTTGGGAAAGGCTGTGTGTAAAACTCTGAGTGTCACACAGACAAATAAGCCCTTGGACAGTAATCATTGTTGAAGACAGCAGAGTTAGGGTTGGGAAAGTAATGTGAAGTCAGCCAGCCTGTCTTCCCAACTTACCTTGTCCATGCATCTGTTTGGGCCGCAATATTTGTCTCTTAGCGACAGTTCTGTTACCAAAATGGGTACTGATTTGTTGAGAGAAGGAATAGTTTGATGCCCAGGCAGTTTAACTGAAGGATGCAGCTTAGCCTAAAGAAAGGTAAATATGGACTAAACTGATAAGAGGAGACAGAGGCATTCCTGTTCTTGTTTGCTCTAAGGTAACAGATAGGCTCAGATTATCCCCTGAGTTAGAGTTTATCAGTAATGACCCTTCTTCCTTAATCAGGCCCTGCTGATCTTCCATTAGAATGAAATGCATTATGCAGATTAAAGCAAAGCACCAAGTGAAGCAAGCTGCTATAATATTGTTTGTCCCGTGATTGGGGGCATTACATATTATCCTAATAGTCACTGTTCCCTGATCTCTTAAGTCTTCAGCTAGAAATGAAAATCCAAATGTCAAATCCCATGTGGTTAATCATCTGTTTTGCCCTAACTTGGTTTGCTGCAAAGTGAGGCTCTGCATTAAATCATAGCTAGGCTTATTGAACTGCAGTGCAGTACAGGATCTGCAATTTAGGAGATTCAGATAATGTGATGAAATGTTAAGATTAAGCTGTGATTTTATTTTAGATTTTTGGTGTATTTATTTTATTAATTTATTTCAAAGGCAAAGGGACGAGAAAGAGAAACAAAGTGGGAGTGACCCATCTGATGATTAACTGTCCAAATGCCCACAGTCTTTGGGCTTGGGCCAGTAGCCAGGAGCCTAACCCAGGTTTCCTTTATGGGTGGCAGAAACACAGTCCTTGCAGCCATCACCACTGCCTCCACCCAGAGTCCGCATTAGTAGGAAGCAAATCAGGAGTCAGAGTCTAACCCGGGTGTCTAATAGGCCAAACACATACCCCATTAAGTGTGACTATGTTATATAAAACTCCTGACAGACATTCTGAAATTCCCCTGGAATCTTTTTCTACTTTGCCTCCCCCACTTTGTTTCACTTGTGGGAAATAGACACAACACAAAGTTATCATTTTAGCCATTGTAAGTGTACAGTTTAGTAACATTATGAACATCCTCCTTTTCATGTAACCATCACCATCATCCATCTCTAGAACTTTTGCTTCTTCAGCTAAAATTCTGTACTCAGTTAAATACTAACTTTCCTTCCTTCTCATCCCCTGGCCAGCACCATTCTGTTTTCTGTTTTTATTAATTTGATCACTCTGGGAACGTCTCAAAAGAGGAATTATACAATATTTGCTCTGTATGACTAACCTATTGCACTTAGGGTAATGTCCTAGAGATTTAGCAAATGTTAGAATTTCTGATTTCCCAGATGGGTGCAAGGCCTAAGGTCCTGGGCTGTCTTTACCGCTTTCCCAAGTGCATCAACAAGATACTGAGTCAGAAGTGGAGCATCTGGGGACCCAAACTGGTGGCCATATGGGATGCTGTTGGTCCAGGCTGGTTTCACCTGCTGCACCACAGTGTCAGCCTATCCTCTTCGTTTCTTTGCCAATCCAGCTAAAGATTTATCCATTGATTTTTTTTTTTTAGAAATGTAGTTTTGGTTTCATTTATTTTTCTCTTTTACCAATTTCTATTTCAGTCTTCCTTCCTTTTGCTTACTTTTTTTAAATGATTTTTTTCACTATTTTAAAAATTATTTCCTGGGACTGGCACAGTGGCTCAACTGGCTAATCCTCTGCCTGTAAGCCCTGGGATCCCATATAGATGCCCATTGGCATCTCAGCTACTCCCTGCTTATGGCCTGGGAAAGTAGTGGAGGATCAGCAGATGGAAGATCTTTCTGTCTCTCTATAAATCTGCTTTTACAATAAAAACAAATAAATCTTAAAATTAAAGTATTTTCTTTGTGATTGCTCTGTTGTTAGCCACATACATAATAAGTTTAAGAATCAGCTTAAGACCCTCCCTCTTGGGTTACCACTCCTACTGGAGAGCATGAAAATCAGGACTGCAGCAGCAGTGGCCAGACAGAACAGCACCTACCAGCATGTGTGTGGACTGGATAGTAGGGCTGGTTGGGTTGAACTAGGCTTCAGTGCCCATTGACAAACATAAGAGCTGAATGGGATGTGGGACAGACTGGACCAGTCTGCTGTACATACTGGCAAGCACAGGAACCAGGGCAGGGGGCAGGCCTGGTGGGGGTTATTGCGGTTCGCTCCAACTGGTATGTGTAAGGGCCAAGTGTGTGGCGGGCAGGAGAATCAAGCTGGACTGCAATACCCCTTGGTTCTTGTGGA